ACTCGCGCTCTTTGCGCTCCAACCGGCAACGTACATAGTGGTGTCTACCGAAGGATACGCAAGGTGGCTACTGTCGAAAGGCAAACATATCGGAATAATGAAGCGAGTAAATGAAATTACTTCAGCTAAGCGCAGCAGTGCTAAGTCGTTATTCGTCGAATTGTATTCTGGATGAGTAATCAACTTTTCTACAGCCACATCATGTTGTGTGGGTGCGCAGAGTTCGTGTTCGGCATTTTTACTTTGACAATCCTTACTCACTTGAGTAGCCCATTCACCCAAGCGTACGCCAGTTAACTTACTAATACCAGCTTCCACTTCAAGACAATGCGCAGCGGTGAGCACAAAATGCTCGTGGATAAGCGTACCTCCACAGGGAAAACTGAGTTGACCTCTTGCTGCGGGAAAGAAAAGAGAATGACCAGCTGTTATTGTTGTATTACTGAAATATCAATCTGAAAATTACGATTAGTGTAGACGAGCAATGCCGTCCAGGGATATTCATCGATATCTGTTGTTGTGGTAGCAGTATCATCGGTATTATTTTCTACTAATACTTTTCCGCAGTATGGAGGCATTGGTAAGAATGTACCTTCAGTCATTGAAATATCGGGACAGCAAACCTAGTAAATATTGTGTAAACTTTTAATACATATATACAAGAAAGCTTTCAGCTTTAGTAATCACCATCGGAAATCTATCTGCATCTGCACAAAAACTGGCACGCAAGTATTGCATATCATTCTCGAAAAACTCATTTTTGTGCATTATTTTCATTAAAGATTTGCACTGAATGAGTGATAAGCAAATACCAGCCACTTGATTGGGAGTTTCGCATTTTCTCTCCTCCAGAGCAGCTTCTGGTTAAAGGGTAGATAAAATTTAAACTCATTTCCTAGGCTTAGCCAACATCAACATATTTAGGTACCTGTTGTAGTTGTTCTCACCTCTTCTTCCACTATCTCTATCGTTTTGGGGCAACAAACCTATAAAGAAATTTTGGTTTTAAACACAATC